ATGGGCAGTGTTGAGTCTATGGGGCAGTGTTGGGTCTATGGGTAGTGTTGAGTCTATGGGTAGTGTTGAGTCTATGGGCAGTGTTGAGTCTATGGGTAGTGTTGAGTCTATGGGCAATGTTGAGTCTATGGGGCAGTGTTGAGTCTATGGTGCAGTGTTGAGTCTATGGGCAGTGTTGAGTCTATGGGCAGTGTTGAGTCTATGGTGCAGTGTTGAGTCTATGGTGCAGTGTTGAGTCTATGGGCAGTGTTGAGTCTATGGGCAGTGTTGAGTCTATGGTACAGTGTTGAGTCTATGGGCAGTGTTGAGTCTATGGGCAGTGTTGAGTCTATGGTGCAGTGTTGAGTCTATGGGCAGTGTTGAGTCTATGGGCAGTGTTGAGTCTATGGGCAGTGTTGAGTCTATGGTACAGTGTTGAGTCTATGGGCAGTGTTGAGTCTATCGGCAGTGTTGAGTCTATGGGCAGTGTTAGTCTATGGGCAGTGTTGAGTCTATGGGCAGTGTTGAGTCTATGGGCAGTGTTGAGTCTATGGGCAGTGTTGAGTCTATGGGCAGTGTTGAGTCTATGGGCAGTGTTGAGTCTATGGGCAGTGTTGAGTCTATGGGCAGTGTTGAGTCTATGGTACAGTGTTGAGTCTATGGGCAGTGTTGAGTCTATGGGCAGTGTTGAGTCTATGGGCAGTGTTAGTCTATGGGCAGTGTTGAGTCTATGGGCAGTGTTGAGTCTATGGGCAGTGTTGAGTCTATGGGCAGTGTTGAGTCTATGGGCAGTGTTGAGTCTATGGGCAGTGTTGAGTCTATGGGCAGCGTTGAGTCTATGGGCAGTGTTGAGTCTATGGGCAGTGTTGAGTCTATGGGCAGTGTTGAGTCTATGGGCAGTGTTGAGTCTATGGGCAGTGTTCAGTCTATGGGTAGTGTTGAGTCTATGGGCAGTGTTGAGTCTATGGGCAGTGTTGAGTCTATGGGGCAGTGTTCAGTCTATGGGGCAGTTTTGAGTATATGGGGCAGTGTTGAGTCTATGGGCAGTGTTGAGTCTATGGTGCAGTGTTGAGTCTATGGGCAGTGTTGAGTCTATGGGCAGTGTTGAGTCTATGGTGCAGTGTTGAGTCTATGGTGCAGTGTTGAGTCTATGGGCAGTGTTGAGTCTATGGTGCAGTGTTGAGTCTATGGGCAGTGTTAGTCTATGGGCAGTGTTGAGTCTATGGGCAGTGTTGAGTCTATGGTGCAGTGTTGAGTCTATGGGCAGTGTTAGTCTATGGGCAGTGTTGAGTCTATGGGCAGTGTTGAGTCTATGGGCAGTGTTGAGTCTATGGGCAGTGTTGAGTCTATGGGCAGTGTTGAGTCTATGGGCAGTGTTGAGTCTATGGGCAGTGTTGAGTCTATGGGGCAGTGTTCAGTCTATGGGGCAGTGTTGAGTCTATGGGGCAGTGTTGAGTCTATGGGCAGTGTTGAGTCTATGGTGCAGTGTTGAGTCTATGGGCAGTGTTGAGTCTATGGGCAGTGTTGAGTCTATGGTGCAGTGTTGAGTCTATGGTGCAGTGTTGAGTCTATGGGCAGTGTTGAGTCTATGGTGCAGTGTTGAGTCTATGGGCAGTGTTGAGTCTATGGTGCAGTGTTGAGTCTATGGTGCAGTGTTGAGTCTATGGGCAGTGTTGAGTCTATGGGCAGTGTTGAGTCTATGGGCAGTGTTGAGTCTATGGGCAGTGTTGAGTCTATGGGCAGCGTTGAGTCTATGGGCAGTGTTGAGTCTATGGGCAGTGTTGAGTCTATGGGCAGTGTTGAGTCTATGGGCAGTGTTGAGTCTATGGGCAGTGTTTAGTCTATGGGGCAGTGTTCAGTCTATGGGTAGTGTTGAGTCTATGGGCAGTGTTGAGTCTATGGGCAGTGTTGAGTCTATGGGCAGTGTTGAGTCTATGGCACAGTGTTGAGTCTATGGGCAGTGTTGAGTCTATGGGCAGTGTTGAGTCTATGGGCAGTGTTAGTCTATGGGCAGTGTTGAGTCTATGGGCAGTGTTGAGTCTATGGGCAGTGTTGAGTCTATGGGCAGTGTTGAGTCTATGGGCAGTGTTGAGTCTATGGGCAGTGTTGAGTCTATGGGCAGTGTTGAGTCTATGGGGCAGTGTTCACTCTATGGGGCAGTGTTGAGTCTATAGGGCAGTGTTGAGTCTATGGGCAGTGTTGAGTCTATGGTGCAGTGTTGAGTCTATGGGCAGTGTTGAGTCTATGGGCAGTGTTGAGTCTATGGTGCAGTGTTGAGTCTATGGTGCAGTGTTGAGTCTATGGGCAGTGTTGAGTCTATGGTGCAGTGTTGAGTCTATGGGCAGTGTTAGTCTATGGGCAGTGTTGAGTCTATGGGCAGTGTTGAGTCTATGGGCAGTGTTGAGTCTATGGGCAGTGTTGAGTCTATGGGCAGTGTTGAGTCTATGGGCAGTGTTGAGTCTATGGGCAGTGTTGAGTCTATGGGGCAGTGTTCAGTCTATGGGGCAGTGTTGAGTCTATGGGGCAGTGTTGAGTCTATGGGCAGTGTTGAGTCTATGGTGCAGTGTTGAGTCTATGGGCAGTGTTGAGTCTATGGGCAGTGTTGAGTCTATGGTGCAGTGTTGAGTCTATGGTGCAGTGTTGAGTCTATGGGCAGTGTTGAGTCTATGGTGCAGTGTTGAGTCTATGGGCAGTGTTGAGTCTATGGTGCAGTGTTGAGTCTATGGTGCAGTGTTGAGTCTATGGGCAGTGTTGAGTCTATGGGCAGTGTTGAGTCTATGGTGCAGTGTTGAGTCTATGGTGCAGTGTTGAGTCTATGGGCAGTGTTGAGTCTATGGCAGTTTTGAGTCTATGGGCAGTGTTGAGTCTATGGGCAGTGTTGAGTCTATGGGCAGTGTTGAGTCTATGGGTAGTGTTATTCTATGGGTAGTGTTAGTCTATTAGCGGCAGTGTTGAGTCTATGGGCAGTGTTGAGTCTATGGGCAGTGTTGAGTCTATGGGTAGTGTTATTCTATGGGTAGTGTTAGTCTATTAGCGGCAGTGTTGAGTCTATGGGCAGTGTTGAGTCTATGGTGCAGTGTTGAGTCTATGGGCAGTGTTAGTCTATGTGCAGTGTTAGTCTATGGGTAGTGTTAATGTATGGGCGGCAGTGTGTGTGCATGTTGAACTTATTTCGCTGCGTGCGTGGCCAACCGCGCTCATCGGAGGTGCGGGTCAGTGCTGGTTTGGTGATGGGGGGGGGAGAGAGCTTTCTGACGGGGGATCAAACTCGGATGGCCGAGTTCACAGGGCAGCACCACGTGACGATCAGCAGTAGGCAGTGCAGCAGCCCAAGTCCATTAATCCCCTGTGCCGCTTTTCTCCGCCCCACGTGTTTGCGCTCTCCGCCTTCTCCGACTGCGAAGGTGAAACAAGTGGTGGTGGTGGTGCTGGTGTTGTTGTTGTTGTGAGGCGAACGCGGCGTGGGGTAGGCCTTCATCCAGCAGTGGACTCAGCAATGACGTCAGCTTGTGACTGTCACCGCCGCCGTGGCAGTGGTCGCTCCTCGCTCTCGTAGAGAGAGAGGACGACTCGGAGAGAGGACGACTCGGAGAGAGGACGACTCGTAGAGAGAGAGAGAGAGAGAGGACGACTCGGAGTGAGAGAGGACGACTCAGAGAGAGGACGACTCAGAGAGAGGACGACTCGGAGAGAGAGAGAGGACGACTCGGAGAGAGAGGACGACTCGGAGTGAGGACGACTCGGAGAGAGAGAGGACGACTCGGAGTGAGAGAGGACGACTCAGAGAGAGGACGACTCGGAGAGAGAGGACGACTCGGAGAGAGAGAGGACGACTCAGAGAGAGGACGACTCGGAGAGAGAGGGACGACTCGGAGAGAGAGGACGACTCGGAGAGAGGACGACTCGGAGTGAAGACGACTCAGAGAGAGGACGACTCGGAGAGAGAGGGACGACTCAGAGAGAGGACGACTCGGAGTGAGGACGACTCGGAGTGAGGACGACTCGGAGAGAGAACGACTCGGAGAGAGAGGGACGACTCAGAGAGAGAGGACGACTCGGAGTTAGGACGACTCGGAGTGAGGACGACTCGGAGTGAGAGAGAGGGACGACTCGGAGAGAGGACGACTCGGAGTGAGAGAGGGACGACTCGGAGAGAGGACGACTCGGAGTGAGGACGACTCGGAGTGAGAGAGAGGGACGACTCGGAGAGAGGACGACTCGGAGTGAGAGAGAGGGACGACTCGGAGTGTGGACGACTCGGAGAGAGGACGACTCGGAGTGAGGACGACTCGGAGTGAGAGAGAGGGACGACTCGGAGAGAGGACGACTCGGAGTGAGAGAGAGGGACGACTCGGAGTGAGGACGACTCGGAGAGAGGACGACTCGGAGTGAGAGAGAGGGACGACTCGGAGTGAGGACGACACGGAGAGAGAGGGACGACTCGGAGAGAGGACGACTCGGAGAGAGGACGACTCGGAGAGAGGTCGACTCGGAGAGAGAGGACGACTCGGAGTGAGGACGACTCGAAGAGAGGACGACTCGGAGCGAGAGAGAGGACGACTCGGAGTGGGAGAGAGGACGACTCGGAGTGGGAGAGAGGACGACTCGGAGTGAGAGAGAGGGACGACTCGGAGAGAGGACGACTCTGAGCGAGAGAGAGGACGACTCGGAGTGAGAGAGAGAGGACGACTCTGAGCGAGAAAGAGGACGACTCGGAGAGAGAGAGAGGACGACTCTGAGCGAGAGAAAGCTCTGCGCTCCTCTACATATCAAGGTGTTTCTACGCGCGGGAGAAAACCGGAGCACCGGGAGAAACCCCAGGCGTGCGAGGGTGGACAACTCTCGGGTACAGGTGGAACAGGTGGAGTCCACCACTTTGCTGCCTTCTCCCATCCACGGAAAGGGAGCTTCACCAACCCATCCTTGCGTTGTCCACCAACCCTCGCTGCTGCCTCCACAACGCCGGATGACTGACCCACGTGCAGAGCCAACGGTGGACAAATGGACACTCGCCTCAACCGTCACGCTATAATTAAACAGTTTAATCAGCAGGGATCTTAACGCACGTTGCATGATACAGCATTCGTGTGTGTGCGGTGGTGCAGCGGTTAGCGCTACTGAACCCGGCGTCCCGAGTTCGATTCTCGCTCACGGCCAACAGCGGTGGCGATTATCTGAACCGGTTCTGAGCCTCCCCTAGGTCGACTCAGGCTCAAATGAGTAACCTGGTGCGGTGTGTAAACATCGCCCACTGGGGAGACAAAGGCGGCCGGGCGTGGTGTTGGCGCACCCACCCCCCTCGTGTGCCGTGCCGGCCTTCATAGGTGCTGCTCGCTAACAGCACTTGCCCCAACAGTCTGTTAAGGCTACACGGGGGACCTTTGTCTTGTTGGCTGTCAAGTAAATCGGGCTATCCCGGCAATCATTGTTATGAATTCTAATATAACGGAGCACAGCCAATATGATAGTGTACATAAGCGCATGCAAAAAAAAATCACCCGTTGAGGATGTTTTGATTTGAGCAAACCCATCACTACGTTCTACACTGGTGCAGTTTGCCACCCCTGCTGTACAAACAACAACAACAATAACACTGTGAGAAGACGACCTTTGCATTGTCTCGAGCGGTGTGGTGATAATATTCTTGTTGTTGTTATTACACATATCATGTTGTTGCTGTTGTTGACGATGTACAAACACTGACAACAACCACCTCGATACCGTTACGTGTCAATAACAACACTGCGTGGGGGGGGGGCCTTCAAAAATACATAATGTACGACGTTTCGGTCAATGGACCTTCTACACGGCACACACGGAGGGAGATTATTATCCGTTTAATGTCTCTCCTATTCTGGCCTCTCTATGACATATGAAGAAGGGCAATTGCCCGAAACGTCGCCTACAATATACACACACACACTTCATTTTAAGGCGTCAGAGTGTCACTGGCGAATGTGTTGCGTGTGTTTAGCTGCTGCTGCCGTCACCATGCAAAGGACTCGGCACTTTGTTCCAGCTGCCAAATTCATTTGCGACGATTCGTCGTTAGATTTTTGGGCTCGGCCACGTAACGATCTGACCATATCTGTGTCGTCTCGACAACCCGCACCGCCGCCACCGCCGCCACCCGACCGACCGAATTAATTTGTTCGACTTTTACCCGCGAAACAGATATCACTCATAACAAAAGGTTTGACACCGCGTGACCATTCCAACTTGCTTGGCCGCGTCGGGTGGTGGAGGGCTTCTAAGGGACGCAGTTTCGGCGTAAGGTTCGGTCTCCCCCCCCCCCCCCCCGCCGCTCCATCTCTCCGGCCTCTCCATTCGCGTGCCACGAAGAAGGGTTAATGCCCGAAACGTCTACCGGCATGGTATACATTTGCCCCTTTCAAGGCGACCCCCACACACACACACACATGCGCGTGCACGCGCTGCGGCGTTAGTGACGGACGTGTTGACATTTTGCGGTGGGATTTTTTTTTTAATCTTGTTTTTCTTTCTCGCTTCACGGATAATTCGGCGAGAATCGTTTACCGCGGACCCGACCCCCATAGGAAACCGATAACGAATCCAGTGCGCGCGCCGTCACCGTGGTAACGGCGCGTGGTCACCACGGCAACGACGACGACGGTGACGACGACGATGACGTCGACGATGACGTCGACGAACGGCCCAGTCCCGACCACCCGCGCGTGGTTCAACAGCAAGCTGCCGGCACCGTGGATCCCTGTCCCTCGCGCCAGCCACCTTCCTCCCGCTGGTCCGCTGCGTGGGAGTCGATGGGAGCCACGGGGTCCTCACACCCCCCCCCCCCAATAGGCCACATGGGAGGGGGGGGGGGGCGGCGGTGTTGGGGGGGGGGAGAAGATGGGAGGGGGGGGGGTGTTGGAGACATGCACGAGAAGCCACCTGCAGTTCACAGACAAAGCATCGTGGAGTCGCGTTATGAGCTCGTCACGGGGTGGGGGGCCGCCACGCAGTCGCCATGGTCGCTCCGCTTTGCCCCCCCCGGTCAGTCACCTGCTCGTCGTTCTGATATTGCTGCTGTGTCCAGTGAACTTCACGCAATCACTCGGCCCTCCCATGTCGAGGACTCCGGTTCTATGCTGGGGCTCTGAGATGCATTGTTTGAGCGGCGCCTTGTAGATTATAAATCGTTGCTGTTATTGTTGTTGTCATGTCGGACTGACCGTGTCTACTCATCCATCCATGCTGTGCTCGACTGACATACACGGCAGGCTGCTGCAACACTCATTCACTCAATCATGCACGCAATCACTCACCAGCTTACTCACGCACGCACACACTCACGCACGTATGTTATGTATCTTGAATTTGAGCTGATATTTGAGCTCTCTAGATATTTATATATGTATTTGACACCAACATATTGATTTGGGGCCGATTTTGTCACACGCGCATGCAGATTGGTGGGAGACGCGTTGCTCGGAGGCCGAGAATATACGATTCTGCGTTCCCTTTTTGTTATTTGACTATTTTTTATTTGGACCTGGTGAAGCCCACCGAGCGATACACCTCTTTTTCAGAAGCGACCTGGCCATCGCAAGCTATCGCCCAACGAAGTGGCTTATCGCGTGAGAATTCACAGCAGCCAAACACTCTTGAGCGCGCGTTGATTCTACATGCGGAGGGGATAAAAACCGAGAGAGGACACCGGAGCAAAGAAAATCCTCGCAATCACGGGGGGGAGAGAGAGAAAGAAAGAGACACACACAAACGTCAGGGTCTGGGTCGAATCCACGACGACCTCCTGTACACCAGGCGAGGGAGTTAACATCTCGCCACCGTGACGCATCTGCCCCCACCGTGACTCGAGCGGGCTATCTGTGGAGAGATTTGCGCTTACCACGGCATCGAGGCCGCGGCTCCCAAACCGCCGGCCCTAAATCTTCTTGTGGCACGGGGCGCAGTAGACGGCCTCGCCCACGGGGATGAAGCCCTTCTTGCCGATGGATTCGTGGCAGCGGGAGCACTTGAAGCAGTGGTCGTGGAAGGTCTTCCCCTCGTACACTATCTTCGCGGTGCCTGCGGTCAAACAGCAAACAGACGCAGAGCCTCGCGGCATTCATATCCTCGGCTGATGTCGTCAAGGAGCATAATCCATCGCGCGAAATCCGGTCATCTCCACCGCAGCAGCAGCGGCGGCTTCTGGCTGGCCGTCGACACCAAGACGGTGGTCACTGGGTCATCGTGCGGCGCATTCGGATGCGCTTCTGCGGCCGTCTGGAACCCTCTTGCTTCACGATATTAGGAATGGACTTTTACATCTAAATTGAAAAAAAAAACTCATTTGTTTAGGATTGCTTTTTTTGGTGTTTGGTTTGTTGTCCTCCCACCGCACCTCCGATCAGCACAGTTGGCTACGCACGGTGCGAAAGAAGTTCAACAGACAAGCGCGTACATCCACCCGACGCAGCCAATTAATGAAAGTTGCCCACCACGTGCGTGATGACCCTAACTCCCGTAGCCATACTCTTACCCACAGCCCTCTCTCATCCCACACAATAACGTGAATAGTTACGACGAGTGTCACCGGATCGTTACGGTTAGCCCAATCCCGCTCATTAATTAATAATTGTTATTTACATCACGGCTAACGTCGCCGTAACAGTTGCCGTAGATTATAATTAAATGTATCCTCCCTCCTCGCATTCGGTTCTTGCTTGAAACGTCGCGTATCGCTGCGACCACTTTGTTATTATTTTAAGCGTTGTTGACACCGAATGTGGTGAGTCTTACTTGTCTGTTCATTCACGCAGCAGCATCGGAAGCGGCGGCGGTGGCGGCAGGATCACCGCCACGTCGTTTATTTTGTCTTATTCGCAGTTTTTGCTTGGGCCCCCCTCCGAGGAAACGGGCCCAACGTTGGCCCAAGGTTGGTCTAACGTAGGACCAACGTTGGCCCAACGTTGGTCGGACGTAGGACCAACGTTGGCGTCGACGTTGGCCCAACGTTGGCGTCGAGGTTCGAAAGTGGTCGTAACCGTCGGGCGAACGTTGGCCCCCGACGTGAGCCCAACAAACGCGTTTAGCCGGGGCGGTCGAGGTGCCACTACCACCAACCACCCACTCCGGTAGCGTAACGTGCATGGGGGGGGGGGGGGGGGCGGGGGGCAGGGGGGTGCCTTGCCCCCACCCCCCCCCCCACTCCTAGGGGTAGGCCCTTAACAACCACCACGACAGATGTTCTCAACAGCAGTGTCAAAGAACAACAAGCAACTTGTTTAAGTAAATTTTCACGAAAATGCTTTCTATGGGACCTTTTTTTTGCCAGTATTAAAGTATGAAAAATAAAGAATCGGTTTTAACCCTTTGTGGCGAAAATCAGGAGTTGTGTTAAGATGTTCAAACACCAAATATTCAGCATTAGCCACACGTACTTGTGGCAACACATGCAACAAAAAAACACGCTCTGATGAACCATTATTTAGTTTACGTTTGATTTTAACCCACCCACTCAACCCACCCACCCACCTGGGTGGCTGACCTTCCTGGCCCCCCCTCGTCCCCACCTGACCGATCGCCGCACCCCCTGAACTGATAATATTGTTGGCACTGCTCCACATGACCCACCCACCTACCTACCCGACCCACCTGGGTGGATGACCTTGCTGGCCCCCCTTCACCAACTGACCAATCGCCACACCCCCTGAGGTCACAACAACGTCGTTACGACGCCACCTGACCCACACGACCCAACCCAACCCACCTACCCAGCCCACCCGACCCACCTGGGTGGATGACCTTCCTGCAGCCCACGCACTGATTGGCCAGCGCCCCGGTCGCGGCGGCCGGCGAAGCCCCCGCGCAGGCGCTGCAGAGTGGCACGTCCCCGCTCGAATCGTACGGCTTGTTGGCCACGGGCACACCGCAGCGGCCGCACTTGAGGCACTTGTCGTGGTAGTGCTTGCCGCTCACGATCAGCTCCTGCGGGGGGGCGGGGGCGGTTGCCGTCGCGGTGGTAAGGATGAGATGTTAACTACCTCGCCCGGCGCGCGAGGAGGTTCGTGTGGGTTCGATCCCGACCACGGGCGACGCCTGTTTGTAAATGTGGAGTTTGTGCGCGTCTCTCTCTTTCTCTCTCTCTCTATCCCCCTCCCCCCTCCTGTAGTCGCGTGGATTTTGTCTCTCTTTTTCCCCTCCACGTGATGAAGCCGCTTCGTTGAGCGATAATTTGTCATGGCCAGGTCGCTTCTGTAAAAGTGCCGCATATCTCAATGGGCCTTACCTGGTAACATGAAAAGAGTTAATATCTTTTTTCGTTTAATCCAAATAACTCGTTCACGGCAACGTAACAATAATTCTACAGGGTGGGTCCAGATGCGTCCCCGGGACGGAGTATGGGGGGGTGGGGGTTGATCTGTGTCAGTGTGTCAGTGTGCCCTTGGCGTTGGGATGGGTGGGATGGTGAGGGTTGTGTGGAGGTGTAAAAGTGCGGGGCGATCTTTGTCAGTGTGTCAGCGTGCCCGGGTGGTATGGGGGTGGCTGGGAGTGGATTGAACGTGGGGCGTAAGGGAAAGGCTGATCTCTGTCTTTGCCCGGGGGAAGGGTGGGTGGTGGCCGCCGTACCCGCTGGCCGGGCCCGATGGACTGGGCGCAGGCGACGCACGCGTGCGAGAAGAGTTTCTCGAAGCACTCGGCGCAGTAGGCGCGGTTTTCCCGCATCACGTACGAGCGCCCGGCCAGCGGCGTCTGGCAGTGCTGGCAGCGGTCCGACATGGCAACGTGATCGGCGGCGGATTCTGGAGCGAATAAACATTTACGCAACAGCGTTTGTGAATGTAAATGGTGGAAATTAGGTGAATGAAATAGACGAAAGGAAAGCAATGAATGTTGATGAATGGGTTGAACGAATGGGGTTAATGAGTGATGGCCATATAATGAGAATAATTGTTATTCTGACAGTAAATGATGATGAATTGATTGAATTCATGGGGTTAATGAGTGATTGCCATATAATGAACATAATATTCAGTATTATTATCCTAACAGTAAATGATGAAATGGATTGAATGAATGGGGTTAATTAGTGATAGCCATCTTATGATGATAATAATTATTATTCTGGCAATAAATAGTGATGAACAGATTTAATGAATGTGGTTAGAGAGACAGCAAAGATTGAGAACGTAAATCACACACAATTGATAACGGCAAGACATACAATGGCACAAACTTACCTTACTTTTAAAGACATCTCGTGAACAATACCCATTGATAATTTACCAAAATAATATCCCAAGGCACGATGCTCTAATGTTGTTGTGGCCTCAGTGCCTAGCCAACAGCAATCTCACGTGTCTGCTTTAAATAACAGTAACTTTCAACGTATCCACAGTGCTGTAATGTATATGTAATGTTCCGAAGATATCGGTGGGATTAGTTCGACGCTAACACACGCACACCTATACACACTCATTATTAACTTGGTGTTGAAAGACCTTCATACGTAGAGGTCCACAGAGCTCCAGCAATTGTATTAACGTCGGCTTCCCGGCGCCGAGCTGCTGCTGCTGCTGCTGCCTTGCAGCTCATATGTAGCGAGATGTTAACTACCTCGCCTGGTATGCAGGAGACGTGGGTTCGAGCCCCGACCAGGACGCCTGCTGCTGTATATTTGCAGTCTGCGTGTCTCTCTCCCCGTGGTCGCATGGATTTTTCTCCGGGTCCGCCGGGGTTTCCCCTCCGCATTTAGAATCAACACATCGCGCGTTTAGAGTCTTTGGCTGCCATAAATATCCACGTGATGATAAGTCACTTCGTTGAGCTATAGTTTGTGGCCAGGTCGCTCCTGTAAAAGAGGCGCTATGTAGCTCAGTGGGACAACAAACTAAACGCAAACAGCAGCTCTCGAGAAATTAGTTTGTCAATCTAGATGATGATTTAAAAGTGGAATAGCTCCAGTGGCATACGAATATCGGAAGGGAGAGCGTTCCAGACGGCCGCAGAAGCGCATCTGAAAGCGCCGCGCGATGCGGTGACCGCCGCCTTTGTTCGACGGCCAATCAGAAGCCGCTGCTAGCGGGGGATGACCGCAGTTTGCGTGATGGTTTATGCTCGTCGACGAGATCAGCAAGGTATTGTGGTTCAAATTTCGATTTAAAGCTTTCGTGACTGCAAGGATTCATCTTATTTGGTTCTTTCGGTAAAGTCACGTAGAATGAGAATAAAATAATATTCTCATTCTATCGTGGTTCACTTGCAGCAAGCACTAATAACAGCACCATTACAAAGTAAGTTCCAGAAACATTTAACGTATACATAGGGGGGGTTGGGTGAGTATTGTATACTCATTGCAATAATGGTCGACGTTTGTTGTCAACTGGACACGCTCTTTCCCACCCCTGATCTTCACCCCACCCCCACCTCTGTGTTGCAGAGGGACGCGGGAATGATGGCAATAATTCTAAGAGGCGTGCGGGAGGGGGGGGAGCAGTGGGGGGGGGGGGGGTGGCATCTCAGGAGCATCAACGACCAAACCCTGCTGAGCTCACGGGTTATTTGCGGGGACATTTCGCGGGGTCGGTTTTTGGAAATGTATCTGATATCTCTCCGAGGTGCACGGACACTATTTGGGGCAGCGATGAAACTGGAGACGTTTCTGATTCATTCTGGGCGGCGAGCGGACGGGGCCGCTCACCGATTTGGCACGGTTGGGGCTACGTACGGCGCGAAAGAAGTTCAACATACATACGTACAGACATACGTGACTGAGTGCCCGACTCCACGGGGCTCAAACCTAACGGAGGCGCATTCACTCCGCCGTTTGTGCCGTTCACAGGCTGCATCGATAGCACACACACACACACTCTGGATTTAAACAACACACGGACAAAGATCACCCGTATAGCCTGAGCAGATTGTTGGGACAAGTGCTGTTAGCCAGTGGCACATTTGAAGGCCGCCACGGAACACGAGGGTGGTGGATGGCCAGCACCACGCCCGGCCGCCTTTGTCTCCCTAGTGGCGATGTTTACACACTGCACCAGGTACTCTGAAGCTGAGGTGAATACACACTCGCACAACAAAGACAAAGATCCCCCGTATAGCCTTAACAGACCTGTTGGGGCAAGTGCTGTTAGCGAATAGCACCTATAAAAGGCCGCCATACCACACGAGGGGTGGGTGTCCAGCACCACCCCCGGCCGCCTTTGTCTCCCTAGTGGATCGCACCTGCTACACACACGCGCGCGGTTGGGCGTGCGGCCCCGCGTGTACGAGAACTCTTTCGGCCTTGTCCAGACTCACCGGATCAACAAGAACTGCACGTGTTTGGGAGTTGTTGTCACATATCAGAAGCACCACCATATGGACTCGAAGACTTTAGTAAATGTGGCCATCTCGACAAAGGGCGGCGGTGATGCTGTGCGCGCGCGTCGCTACACACGGAAGGTTTGGATGGGGCTGCAGGATGGGTTTCCTCTGTTTTTGTTGTTGTTAATCATCGAAACTCAACGCGCACACCACACACACGACCACACGCGCGCGCGTGAAGCGCGTGCAGTCCTCGTTGTGAATCACGGAGAGCGAAAAAAAAAGGACCCCATCAGAATTTCCCGCAGAAGTGCATTGGTTGGCCCTCTCGTCCGGGATCACGTAGCACTGGACGCGAAACACATCAACGAGCAAGATGTGGTAGGCGGCGCGCCTTGCCACCGCTCAATTCCGTGGCCCGTGCAAGACCTGCCGTCCCATACAATCTAACATGTGTAGTGACATAGAATTGGTCACGTAGCAGCATAGCGCTGGCTGCTGGCGGGGAAGGGGATCTGCAGCTTACAGGAGCCCTGACCGTCAGCAGGCCACGTGACACACCAGAGGGGGATGTAGGGGAAAGGTCACGGAAGGGCCACACGAGAAACCCGCGGGTTGGTTCCAGAAAAGGGACGTGGCCGGGGGCGGAGCCAGGCCACGCTGAAGGGCCACACGAGAAACCCGCGGGTTGGTTACAGAAAAGGGGCATGGCCGGGGGCGGAGCCAGGCCACGCTGAAGGGCCACACGAGAAACCCGCGGGTTGGTTCCAGAAAGAGGGCGTGGCCGGGGGCGGAGCCAGGCCACGCTGACAGTATATAAGAGGGGTCCCTGTAGGGGACCTCGGGGCTGTCGTGTGGAGTGGGATCCCCGTCGCACTGCTGCTGGAGTCTTCGCCGTCTCGGCGTCGCCAGTCAGGCAGTCCACCAGCTGTCCTGACTGGGAGCCGTAGTTAATTTTAAAACGAGTTACAGAAACTGTTAGGCCGCGTTACTAAACAGAGTGCCTCCAACCCTTAGTGTCTCTGAGTCAATCACTATACATGTGAGAAGGGGAGGTGGCGGCGGGCGGAAACGCGCCGCGTTTTTTTTACTTATCATTGATTTCATTTGCCACTTACTTCCCTTGTGCTGCTGGTTGCGCACCGGTAGCACTTTGCATTGCGCGCAGCCTCAACTTGTTTAGCTCAGCCGGTTGTCCTCCGCCGAGGTCGTGACTGGTTTATTTTTTTCTCAATCCTGTTGCTGCCCTATAACTCCCCCCCCGCCCTACCCCGCACAGTTCCCGTTCTGCTGCAACTGTGCGCCATATGCCCACTTTTGTCGCACGTTTGTCGAACTACTTTCGCGCCGCGCGTAGCCGAACGTGCACGTCGGAGGGTGATGTTGCCACGTTAAATAAGGACGGGTTGATTCATTGACGATTTGAGCGTGTGCCACCCAACTCGCTGCGACAGCGGCGTCGGCGGGAACGGTGGAACGAACTTCGGACCGGCATCGCGAAATGTTTCTCTCTCGTGGCTTCGAGATGTGCGCGGTTTCACGGTCTGCGAGCCAGTAAGCGGCAGCGGTGGAATGGATGAGGATGGCAGCAAACTCGGACTACCCTCGCGGCAGCAGCGGCGGCGGCGGCTGTTGGCTAAGCCGTCGAACAAAGACGGTGGTCATCCGCATCGCGCGGCGCTTTCAGACGCGCTGCTTCTGCGGCCGTCTGGAACGCTCTTCCTTCCAATATTAGTAAGCCGCCGCCGCCCGAGCTATGGCACTTTGAGATAATCTCGATTCAAAAGCTCATTTACTTAGAACTGATTTTTTTTTGTGTGCGTTTCGTTTGTTGTGTTTCCTCTGCACCCCCGACGAGCACGGTTGGCTACATTCGGTGTAAAAGAGGTGCAACATACGTACATACATACATGTCACATTTTTATTGTCACCCCCCGCCCGCCCGGCCACCTTCACCCCTTCACTTCTTTCCAGGCCCTTTCGGCCCATGGCTCCCCTCCCACCCCCCCCCCCCCCCCGTGCAGTTGCACCGCCTGCGCACTGAAATATACGCCGCTGCCCATGAGCCCAGCGCAACACCACACCGCTACTGCTGCCTGCTTAACTGCCTGACTGGCTGCCTGCCTGCCTGACTGCCTGACTGCCTGACTGCCTGACTGCCTGACTGCCTGCCTGACTGCCTGACTGCCTGCTTAACTGGCTGTCTGACTGGCTGCCTGCCTGCCTGCCTGGCTGCCTGACTGGCTGCCTGCCTGGCTGCCTGCCTGACTGCCTGCCTGGCTGCCTAACTGGCTGCCTGCCTGACTGCCTCCCTGACTGCCTCCCTGACTGGCTGCCTGACTGCCTGCCTGGCTGCCTGCCTGCCTGCCTGGCTGCCTAACTGGCTGCCTGACTGGCTGCCTACCTGCCTGACTGCCTCCCTGACTGCCTGCCTGGCTGCCTAACTGGCTGTCTGCCTGCCTGGCTGCCTGCCTGACTGCCTGCCTGA